AGTCCGATGTGTCGTGGTCCCCCGCCCAAACATGCCCAGGAATGGAGATACAGGACCGTGAAACACGCTAATTCCTCCATGCTCCGCCTTACACCTTTTTGCGGCGCAGATTCCCGTCCTTCATAACATCCGTCGTAAGCGCGCGTGTCGCGTGCGGCTCCTTGGCACTTTGCCAAGTCCTTTAATTGCGCTTTCAATGCAAAGTAAAACGCAATTTCCTGATGCGGAATAACACTGGAGGTGCTGCAAAGTAAGAACAGAAAAAAAAGTTGATGACAGAGGGTCAGACTTAAAAGCAAGCTTGGCGGCACTTTCTGCAACATCCCTCGAGGCCGCGTATTTCCACGAAACATGAAAATAAAACGGCATACTCGTTAGTTTGATACAAGCAAAACGCAATTTCCTGATGCGAATAAAATTTTAGGTGTTGCTCATGCTTCAAAATCCATGTACAAGGAGATGAAGATGACACAGGCTAGAAATGAAGCACAGCGAATGTAAATAAAAAAAAGAAAAAATCAAGGAAAGGCAAATTAGTTAAAATGGCCTGTAAATTTCTACGATCCGGCGCCCATAGAAATACTTAGAACAAACGAGTGGGACGCTTGGGCTGTTTTTATTCTCATGTTTTGTGGGAATGCGCGGCCTCTGATGGATACTGCAGATGCAGCCGAGTTGCTCTTGAGTTCTGGCCCTCGTCATCATCTTCTGTTCTTATTTTGTAGCACCTCCAATGTTATCCGCATCAGGAAATTGCGTTTTACTCGTATTTGAGAGCGCAATTAAAGGACTTGGCAAAGTGCCAGGGAGCCGCACGCGACACGCGCGCTTACGACGGATGTATGAGACGGGAATCTGCGCCGCAAAAGGTGTAAGGCGGAGCATGGAGGTTAGCGTGTTTCACGGTCCTGTATCTCCATTCCTGGGCATGTTTGGGCGGGGGGACCACGACACATCGACAGCTGGGGGCTGATAGTCTCATACACCCTCAATGTGTTTGAGCGTACCATGTGTCTTTAAAAGGTCGCCGTGCGCTTAGAATGCTGAGGCGAACTTTGAGCGCAACCTTATCTCTTCATTTAACACATTGCGAACCGCCGTACTGCACGCATGTCCGGACCATTTCATATTTTTCCATCAACAACTCAGCTACTCCCTTCCTCTTTTAATATACTTATAGAGCATTATCTCCCGTAACCGAGAACGTTTTTTTGACAACCGTAAAAATGATAGAAAGCCAAGTTAATCAAATAAAACATCGCATAGGGACAAATGCATGACACACCACGTGTGTCACGCGGTCCGGAACAGTGGTAAGAAGCACGTGGTAAAAAGCGGTTTCGGTGCTGCTTGGATATACTGATACAAGCATGCTGCCGTATCTACCAGATCAGTTGTTGGCACAATGCCTGCAGGGAACTCGTCCGGAAATGCTTCTTGTCGGTCGCATCGTACTCGTCCAATCTCATGTAGAACAAGGGCTTCGCAGGTTTTTGACCATTTCACTTCGCTTTTTCGTGATTTTCTCACTATTTGGCACCCCTGCTACAATCTCGGAACGAGGAAATTATCGTGTCTTATGCTTTTGAACGGTAGTTATCATGCTAAAACAACACTGAAATAATTTATTTCAAATTTTGGTTATACGGATTCTCAAAGAGCGTTGCACTGAGTTTCGGCTCTCGTTTACCGTGGTTGAATCGTACGAATTGTAACGTTGAAGATGGGTAGTCGAAAGGTTCGAAGTGCTGAAATTGATTTATGGTGTGTTAAGGATGTTTCCATATGTCAAACTGCACAGTGAGTGGTATTTACATTGTTTTTTTCACAATTAGGGTTAAGTTTCTATAGAGATTTATCTCTGGGGGTAGGTTTAGCTGAATTTATCTTCGGGCAGAGCACTTCATCGCGTTGTGGGTAGATTTTTTTCGGCAACGTTCGCCCCCCACCACCAATTCTCTGTTTCGGTATGACCTCCCCCAACCTACCTACACCCTCTTAACAGTAATGTCAGTGAATATACATGTTATCAGTGGATATTGAAACTGCGCGCATATACCCCACAACCAATTAACGCACGTGCTCTTGTAGTGAGATAATGAGGGAGTTACCTTCAACTAATTAGTAAGCCCCTTATTTTCTGGCACTCATTTTCATAATCGCATGTACGCTTGACGACCCACAGACTAAGCTAATTGGAAACTGAATCAGCGTAAAAATCAAAGGTTCTTGCGAAGTGTTCATAGAGCTCAAACCAAAGGACGGGTCGCTAATGTAGTTTGGGGGGGGGGGAGAATTCCCCAGCGTCTCCGTGTCCCTCTCTTGATCAAGACTTGAGCTTAGTGGAAACTTTTTTCTGTGCGGGACTGTCCCTCGGCGGCTCTGGTCGTCTGCGTTCTAACCAGTAGCCTTTTTGGGGAGGAGGAACAGAGATGCTATGAGTGTCCCCCCCCCCCTCCAAATACGTTAGCACCATGGGCAGCCATCATAGAAAACAGGGTAAATTAACTACAAAAGTAGAGAGCTTACACCGTCGAAGCGTCCTCTCCGTCGTCGAAATCGTTGGCATATACAGCATTGTAGGATACAGCAGAGAAAAAGAACCACGAGAAATGCGATCAGAACCGCAAGATACTGTAGAATATTCTGATTTCCATCTCTAAATTAGAATTTAATAGTGCAAGACTAGGCGTATTTCTGAATGGCTACGTGAGATACTGAAGCGCCCTCCTTAGATTCATGAATCTGGTTAATTTTTTATTTCATATTCGTATTTCATGCGAGAAGAGACCCGGGATCGGCCTGTGGAAATACTAACCAGCAATCTAATCGAGAAGGAAAGGCCTTCGAGCTCCTTTTAAAAAAATTCTGAATTGTCCACCTTTGGCGCCCTATTCTTTACAACTGAGCCTTCATTTTATTCGACGTTTCTCTTTAGTAGCAAATTTTACTTGAACTCTGTCGAGGAAATATTCTGACCCCCCCCCTGTATCGCATCTGCTTGGTGCGAAAACTTCTGGAGCCCGCGCCCCATGACCAATGTCACGGTCCATTTTCGGTGCTGGTGTCCATAGTGGGTGTTTTCGCGCCTGGCAAATGTGTTATTAGCGTTCAGAGAGTGAAATTATCCATTGAAACAATTTTTTTGCACTTTTGACGTTTTTATATGTTTTGGCACCGCCGCTTATGGCACGCGCGCCAGGCTGTTGCGAGCCAAGCGATACTGTTCCCGTGTTCACTGGTGAAACAACTCCTGCGACGACATTACAACCAATTTGGCCAAAATTTTCGGTCAAAATCTGGCCTCACCTTCGACGAGTGGGGCAGCAAAAGTGATTAGGGCCAAAATTCTCTTCACTGTCGGTGCCTTTGGTAAGGCGAGGTAACCAGAGCATGGTTTTTGTCGCCGCTAAACCCGCGACATGGCGGTATTTAACCCACGGGGACTTGAAACAGCGTTGTCACTCTAAACGAATTTGGCCCTGGTGCGAATGCCGCACATTGACTCCATTTGCAACACCTTTTTCATCGAAAGCGCTGGGCTGAACTGCATTCGCCCACCTACACGTCCTCGTCCTCGAGGCTCCGGGGAGCGAAAGCTGTGGCCGAACTACTTAGAAGGGATCATATGGTAGTCATATTCATCGAACAAACCCTTCGCTCCTTCACTCCGCGATATGAAAAATTCAGTAACAGAGGCTGAAAAAGTGGCGGAGAACGCAATTTTTTCAACAGCTCGTTCTGTTCTCCACCTTGTATATCATTTTGATCCCTCTACCTCAGTGAGAGAGATTGGGAGAAAGATAGAAATGCTGCAGGAGTTACAGTAAAGTTCCCTGTCTCGGGTGCTCAGAAAGGCACTTTGTGACGCTGCACGTATGCCGTCAGGACTCACGGTATGACTCATCAACAAAAAGTGCAGTTTTGCGTAATAGTAGCTTTACGAGCTGTGAGTAACACTGTGCCAATAGGGGATTAATGGGTTTAAGGGCATGCGGACTGAATGGGGTTTTTAGCGTACGGTACTTGAACATTGAGGGACGGCCCGTTACGCGCTTTTTCACTTTGCAGTATGCTGCCAGGTGATAGCTTATATTTGTGACTTCCTTACTCGCCTGAGCTCGCGGTTGGTTGGACTCATTCAGCTGAGCCAAGCGCTTTGGCGCGGTGTCAGTTTGGTCAAGTTGAGACCAACAGCGTCCGACTGGTGTAGTCGCCTGCCTGATCCGGATTCTAGTCGTGACCACTCACTGTTGCGTCCATCTAGACACCTCGGGCGATGATTAATTTCCTCTAAAAAAAGAGAAGGGGGGGGAATGAAGGAGCTACAAAGATAAAATTTCTTTTGGAAAGGGAAGAGGGGAGGTAAGAGCAGTGAGCCTAAGAGATAAGGTACACGCGTTCACATCTCACATCCACCGTGACTAGTTGCTCTCGTCCGCAAAGTCGTCGCAAGGGCCCTTTTCCTTCTTCGGGCTTAGGACGCTAACGCGAGGCGGGCCGTTCGAACCTAGAAATAGATTGATATGGTGAATCGCATATGACGCAGGTACTGCCTAGTGGTATAACATGACAATTAAAGGGCCCTAAACATGGGAACTAAACCAAGTGCGCGGAATACGGTAGCGATTTCTTGGACTGCGAAATCTTGAATAATATTGAAAGGATAAGGCAGCGTTCAGACTTCGCGACGGCAGCGCTTCGGATGCGATCGATGCAGTTGAAAGCATGCGTATCGATCGTCGAATCGCGCGGCCGAAGCGCTGCCGTCGCAAAGTCTGAATGCTGCCTAAGTCGTTGTTAAGGAAAAACTGGACAGGCTCCGTGATTCGAATGGACAGTTTTTGCTAAGGCCAGTTCAACTGCGGGGCTACTCTTAGGCCGCGTTCATACTTCGCGATCCGAATAATCTGCGCTAGCGATAGATTGGCGCGGCTGATGGTCTATTAATGTGAGGCAACGCAAACAAGGGCACAGCATTGGTTGGGATTCCTATGGGGAGGGTCGTATTTGCCGTGGGGGGGTCCGTATTGGGCTGGAAAAATTTATTTTTATAGTTGATTTTTCTCGCTTTGCGGACGTTTTGGAGGGGGGGGGGGGGTCGTACCAGCCCCTGAAAAAAAGGGGGGGTCGTAAAAGCTCGACCAAAATCCCCATCGAATGCTGTGCCCTGCGCAAAGCTCGCGCGCGGCGTCAACCGCGCGTCTTCGTAGGCATCGTTGGTGCCGATCGCGCTATACTAGCGATCGGGTCGCAAAGTATGAAAGCGTACTTATCTACACATTTATGTCTCCTTACAGATTCCTTGCACTTAATGACACTTCCCACGATCAAGCGATCAGCGAAATACCTCCATGCATTTGGCATCGTTCCGCACTCGCAGAGCATATCCCACTTTCGTCACTCGAAATGGCGAGACAACGAAGCTAGAGACGCCTTAGTTTTGCAACCGGTGCAACTGCATATTGTAACTCTGCGACAACGGCTCACGAGAATTGCGTGTGTACATAGCGTTGCCTGGAGTGTCGTAGGGCGATTTCCTATTCTCTTGCCGTCAACTGGTTGCTTGACGAATCCTGGTGATTGGGCTGTCTGACATCCGACAAACTGGTCCAAAGCGCCGGCCCATTGCAGGGGGTCTCTATTCAGGGTGTTCCCGACTTTTTTCGCTTCTTTCTATACTGATGGGTTTTCGACTGGCCACTGGTTTGTGACTGAGCATCTGCCACCTGTTGCACTTGATCGCGGGAGTTGTCTTTAATATCTTACGAGAGTACCTAAAGCCACCGATTAATACTCTCTGTAATTATAAGCTTTGGCGCCCAGGGCAAGTCATCATTGGGATTCCGCAACAAGGGTGAGGAGGGGAGGGGTAGTATTTGCTTGCTGGAGGGAGGGGTATTTGACTAACAAGGGAATGGTTTGAACTTCCCATGGAACTTTGAATGGAGACCTAGGTACATCGATAGAGCCTCGAATGCTGATTACGAATATGCAGATTAAAAGTGCTACGGGGACCTCCCAGACGAGATCTGGGTGGTCAAAGTTTGAGTTCTGGCTCGTAAGCGCTGCTGATCGATGCCTCGGCAGTGCCACCGTGGCCTCGTGGTAATGGTCTCGCTTTCAAGTCAAACGCATGCGGGTTTGCATCCGGTTGGCGCGAAAATTTTTTGCTTCGCTCCGTAAGAGCTTCAACTCTAATTTTCGAAATTCTTCCGAATTTACGGCCCAGCAGGGCAAGTAGATCAAGTACATCAAGTATACGACGTACTCGATCTAGTATGGATTTGGTCATATCTGCCCTCTGAACATATTACCCATCCGACAATTCAAAGTTTTGCCCAGAATCGCAATTTGGCCAGACGAGCGTTTTTTCGTCGAAGGATGTGATATTCGTGTTCAGGGGGTCGAAATCTCCCATGAACGAATTTCTCGCTAAGACTATTGACCAAATCCATACTAGATCGAGTACGTCGTATACTTGATGTACTTGATCTACTTGCCCTGCTGGGCCGTAAATTCGGAAGAATTTCGAAAATTAGAGTTGAAGCTCTTATACGGAGCGAAGCAAAAATTTCGCGCCAACCGGATGCAAACCCGCATGCGTTTGACTTGAAAGCGAGACCATTACCACGAGGCCACGGTGGCACTGCCGAGGCATCGATCAGCAGCGCTTACGAGCCAGAACTCAAACTTTGACCACCCAGATCTCGTCTGGGAGGTCCCCGTAGCACTTTTAATCTGCATATTCGTAATCAGCATTCGAGGCTCTATCGATGTACCTAGGTCTCCATTCAAAGTTCCATGGGAAGTTCAAACCATTCCCTTGTAAGAGAAATTTGCGGCGGAAAAATTTTTTCCTGGTTGTTCACTTTCCACGGTTTTTCCTGTTTTCATCTTTCTCTGTGCTGTATACTTCCTCGCTCGACAGCAAAATTTTTGGGAAAATAGTAGGAAAATTTTCGGGAAACTCTTGTGAAACAGGAAAAAGTGACAGGAAGTTGGGAAAATTAAGAAAAAAAATCAAGAAAGTTGTAGGTAGGATGGAGAAGGGTGATTGGGGGGTCGTATCAAGCCACACCTTAGGGGAAGGCGTACGCTCTCGAGCAAAATCCCCAACTAATGTTGTGCCCTGTTTGTACATTTGACTAGCAATAGGTGCTGGACTATGGGCACCTTTGAATGAATCGCAAATCTTGGGGATCCCACGGTATCGCTCGAAATTCCCGGGCGATACCGTGGGATTTCCGGTGGTGGTCAGGCAGGGTACACTAACGTTGTGTGAAGCCCAGTAAGGGGCTCGTTGGTCGACGGAAGAGCGTTCCACCGCCGTTTCACCCATTCCGATGTTACATCCTGTGTTCAAGAATCAGATCAAGACGCTATTGTTCTGTGGGCCTAGTTCACACTAACTTTATGAGTAATCCAGCTTTTAGTGGGCGCAGTATCATGCACCACCCGTCCTGGTATTTCGAGAAATTCAGCAATTTTCGGTCTTTCGTATTCCCTCATTTTGGTCTCAGTTTCGTTTCACGTTTGAGAAGTCATAGTCTGTAGCATGATTACCACTGAAGCAGAAATCATAAGAACAGGATGTATAAGTGAGACTAGTATGGCTGAAGACTGGTTACCGATCAATGTTGCTAGTGGTACTCACTTACTAAGCTGCTGTCGCTAAGTGACTCTTCAGTGAAGGAAAAAAAGGAAAAAAAAGCCCATCTGGTGAATAAAGATCATGCTTGACGGTTGCACAGTCTCATTGCACAGTCGCCCGCAAATTATACGAGTTTTCCGGACATGCAGGCAAATCGACACCATGGGCCTCTATGCAACCCTTGGCTGACTAATCGTTTTTTTTCAGTTGCTTCAGTAGTGGAGAGGGTAGAGTATAGCTGAATATGAAACGGCGTTGACAGTCCACCCCATCCTTCCGTCCCACCATATTTCCTCATACGACTCCACTTTCCTATCCTACACACCAACCACCTTCCCATGTTTTTCCACCTTCCTACTAATTTTCCCAATTTTCGAGAGCTTTTGTCGTTTCCCTTTCAAAAAAAAAACTGGCGTCGAGCAGGGGCGGGGGGGGGGAGAGGATATCCATTGAACTCTCCATTCCAACTATCACAAGTCATTGTGTGGTGGTTCTGCGACTAGGAGAGGTGTACAGCTCACATTCCCTCTTCCAATACGCCCTTCCCCACTGTCCCCATCAGGGCATGTCCTGCCGCTGGGAGAATTTCCGGAAAATACGACCCACTCGTAATTTGGTCCTATGTTACTCCTCCTTCCCCGTCCTCCAACTTTTCCTCAGTCTCCCATTACTTTTCCGGGACTTCCCAAAAATTTCCAAGTTTTTCCTCTAAAAATCATCGAATGCGGGAGGCGGGGCTGGTGGGGGGTGGTCACCAACCAACTGCTAGTTTCAAGTACAGAATATAGTAGTTGTATAGGTTTGAGAAGCACCAAGTAGAGAGGGGGAGGGGGTGAACGACGAGCGTATAGCCCCCATTGGAATTTTCCCAACGATGTAATAGCACGCGTGCAACAGGAAAAATCGACTATCAAAGAAAATTCTTCTCGGACCAAATACGACCCCTCATCCGCTAGAGAACTCCAACGTGGCACGTGCGCTGGCCCCCATTCTACCTCTTTCCAATTTTCTCGACTAATGACCGACCGATTTTCTCAGTTTTCCCAAAATTTCTTAGAAAAAAACAGACGGAGAGGGGGTGGCAACATGGGGGAGTCATCACCAATCAACTGCCAAAGTGGAATATCAAAAATATATGTATAGCCGTCGAAAACGGGATATTAGTCAACATTCTCGCGGCTCGAAAGAATTGCAAAGCCAGATATGTCCCTCCCCCGCCACCAACTGCGTCCCCCTTCCCATGAGATCCCCTCCTCCCCCACCCCGACGATACTGTAACCTGATGGTGAGTGCAGGTGGCGCTAAAACGCATTTAGCTTGCGAACTCCCAAGCTTAATTTGTTATATTGTTCAGTTACTTCCCTGGGCCTGGGAAGCCTACATGATGCGATGGATACATGTACTACATGCCTAGTATGGATTGATTCCTCCTGTAGTCAGACTGGTTTCCGATCATTGACCAAAATCCGTTATGCACGCGACATTGATCGGCTTATTATGCCATTTAGTCTGTTCTGTATGCCTCCCCCCTTCCCCCAATAGGAGTCTCCCCACGATGTGGATAGACCGCGTGAAGCGGGTAAAATCATGTATGAAAATATTTTCTCAGCCAAATATGACCCCCCCCCCTACTATGTCCAGCGACCAATTACGACCACTCCGTTGGGGATTCCTCAGCGGAAGACGTGCCCTGGTAAGGAACCCAAGACGCCTAATGTTGGACGGGTGATGAGTTCATGGCGCAATCCGATGCCATTGTAGAACTGCGGCAGTGTTATCGCTGCTGTGGCGGCCGAGGTTTTATTGAGAAAAGAAGTGGAGTTTGTAATTTAAGATGACATTGGAAGAGGCAGAGAAATGTTTTTTTCACGGCGACAGATGCGGCCAGACGTAAAAGAGAAGTCTTTCGATATGTTGCGAAACAACTCGTTGGCAAGGTTTTTGCCACCCCGAGAAGAATAGTGCAAAGGCATTAAGAGTGAAATGATGTGTGAAGGAATCCTCAACGATGTGTGTGGGTCGTATTTGAGTTGGTCGGGAGAGGAGGGGTCATGTTGCTTTTATTGAAAGGGTCCTGCTCAAATGGGAAAAGGTATGGGATTTTTGAAACCAGTAGGGATTTCGACTGATTTTTACGTTTCTGGCGTAGTATGTCGAGAATCGACATCACTTATATTCCATATCTCAGAGGGGAGAGGGAGTGGCTGGATACTTTATGTGAATGGCTTGATATGTTTTTTTTTTCGTGAGATATGAACCATTATCGGGTTTTGTGCCGGACAAAGGTATAATTAAACTTGTCACTAAACGGTAATATCCCAACTGAAGCGCACCAGCTGCCATTCGAATGAAGGTACGCAGCCACGCCCCTCTTCCTCCAGGGTGTGGAATGTATGTAATAGAAGTGGAGGTAAATTAGTAAAACGCAGCATTGTTCGTAACGCGGTTCTTCTGTGGAGTCAAATCCCAAGTCGGCTTCTACCTTGCCTAAGCAGACCTTCTATAGAGGTCTGCTTGACCTAACCGGTGATAGACTTCGTTGGGAACACAAAACACTGGCCTAAGGATTGGCTGGCCTTGGAATTCATTGTGTAGGTTTGGTCGTGTTCAAAATGGAATTACAGTTCCGGGTAGCAGTGGGATGCGAGGCGCATTCCGGAAGGGAGCATTGTTTAGCGCCGAAAGTTCGATCCCTTATTGTTCTACACAGCCCTTCACGCCATTGGGCGGTTTGCTGAGAAACCTGCGGGTAAAAGGTTCTAAGGAGATAGAGGGAAGTTGCACTCCAGTTGGAGGGGACTCGCACTAGAAGGAGCGGCAGAGGGGTCTGGGCCACCGATTGGGCCTATCGCCATTTCCATAGTCCTTACCCACCTCTGGGGGCACAGTACAGGAAATGCGCCTTCTAAACAGGCTCAGAAGAAGGCAATACTCTTAAAACCGTATAAATGAGGACTTAACTCAGCCCCAGGTAGCGTAAAAGAGCAGAAAAGAGGGTGGCCAGTCTTTCACCTACTTCGTTTCGGCGCAGTTTGGCTTGGGGGGGAGGGAAGACATTTTGCACCTCCGCTACTTCCCATCAACGTGTCGAGCCATCAAGTGGGGGCATGTAAAGTCTTGTGAAACCATGAATTGATAATAGACAACTTTTCAAATACTGCAAGGAATTCTTGTCAATTCTTGTAAAGCAGTGATTACATCGATAGTGAATAGCGGAACTCCTCCCCCCTATCTGAAGCCGAACGTGCCATGATTTGTAGCAAATTGGACACGCTCAAAGAATAACTCTGGAGATTCCTGTCATTTTGACGGGATTATGGAGTCTATTTTTTGAAATGTAATTGCCTCATTCACGATCTTAACTCAGATTTCTGGTTTACCAAGTCTACTTTTCCAGAGGGGGTACCTCTCGAGAAATACCTATAGGGGTGACCGGCGGGCTTTTTCTGATCCGTCGGCCACCAGAAAATCTCTTTTCAAACAGACGGTGTGATTTGAATGCGTTAGCCGTTATGTAATCAGGGCACGCCCAGCCGCGAGGAGGGGGGGGGGAATTCTCGAAAAATACGACCCCCTTCATATTTCCTCGTCTGCCACAACCCTGCTACAAGCCCCCCTCCCCGTCGGAATTCTCCCAACAATGTGAATGACCCCCGTGAAACAGGAAAAATCATGTATCAAAGAAAATTTTTTTCCGACCAAACACGTACCCCCACCCTCCCCCAGCGACCAGATACGACTCCCCTTCGCCGGGGACTCCCCAACGTGCAGTGCGCCCTGTATGCAATACATGTATACGAAAAATCGTTAGCGAACAATGAGAAATAATAGAAAAAAAACTTACGACTGGAAGAACATCTGGTGAATGAAGCGCCGTTGTAAAATCCTAATGGGCCGCTGGTTGTGAGGCGTTGAGAGCGAGCAGAAATCAGTTTAAATGTAGTGCTCGTTGGTGGTGGTGTTCGGCTCGTGTCCGACAAAGTGGCGCTCTTAGTGGACGGGGTCTTCGTTCGTCGAGTCAACAACAACACACCCAAACACACACCTAATATGGTTAATCTTGTGATGTGCGACTTTTCAAACACCTGAGTGCGAATCGATAGACTATCACTGCCCCCCGCTGAACGCCCCCAACAACGACGGGGGGTGAAAGGGTGAAGCGTTAGGTAGCGCAAGGTCAACGATGTTTGTCCTCCTAATTCCCACGATTATCGCCTTTTTATTGCCCGGAAAACAACGCTCGAAAGTGGGTGGTCCCAGTTGAAACGCTTTGAACGTTCCGCTGATAACACAGTTCGGAAGCAAATAGATTTCAAAATGGCTGGACCAGACTTGGCCTCGAGCTAGATTACGGTACCGTACGGTACCTGTCCAGGCGAAAGATTGATAGGAATAGCGAGATCTATAGGTGAATGCTAAAAGGTGAAATGAGAGCCTGGGATGAGTCATAAATTTGGGGAAAGGAATGTCCTAACGGTGTAAAGTACCGTGAGTGTTGGTCGCCTTCCAGACAGAGACCGAACGTTACACGTGCGGGGGGGGGGCAGACATTATTTTCAGACGGGTGGAAAGTGAATGTAGACTGCTAATGAAATGATGGGAAACTCTCCTTCGGTGATTCGATACCCGATGACGTATGGCGCTGCTCAATCACAGTGATTAAGTGAACCAGTCTGAGAATTTTTTCGCTCAATTTTTCACACAGCCATTTCGAATCACTCAGGGATTTGCTAATTGGCTGGGAGTGTGCCGCGCAAAAAATTTTCCCCCCTCTAAGGCGAACAGCGTCGAAGTTTGCTCCTGAGGACCGGTTGACCTTCTGAACGCGAATATGACATCTTCTCAGCACGAAAATGTCTGGCTCCCGCGTTATCCAGTTTAGGCGTTCTCGCGACTAATGAGCGCTATACCGGGGCGCGCCATGGTAGTGAGGGGATTATTCCCCAGTACGCCCCCTCATAACTCGTCGAGGAGGGGGAAAGCGGAAGGCGGGTGATTCCTTTTCCTTTCTTACTTCCATAGAACAAGTAGAACTGTACACTCTCTGTGGGTATAGTTCACCTTAAACCGCTAAAACAAAGTATGCAAACGAATTCCGAACGGAACGATGCTACCCCCTTCGTCGCAGCTTAAGTAAGACCCTCTCCCTAAAATAGGAGAGGAGCCACAGGTGCACAACGTGTCATGTCATGTTCATGTAGCTAAGTCCCGGCTTGGAGGTGGCATTCCGCACTTTTGCTTGTTCCTTGTATTGGTTCCTTGAACAATAGTTCCCTTATTGAGACGTGGAAGCTCACGCGAAGCCGTCGTTATGCTCTCTACCCATCTGCCTATTGAAATTTGGGATATGTGAGATGAAGGAAGCTCTCTACCCATCTGCCTATTGAAATTTGGGATATGTGAGATGAAGGAAGGGTCACGAAGGAATACTTACAAAGAATCCTCATTCAAGCCCCCCCCCCCCTTTAGCCTCCTGAGTCCACTGAACACGCTTCAGAGCCCGCTGGACGAGCTTCTTTTGAGCACGAGATACTCCCATTCTCTCGAAGATACTGATGAGAACTGCTTTCCGGTGCCTTTTAGGCCGCCTTCATGTGGAGAACCCGCAATTCCAAAGAATCGGCGCCAGTGGATTAGGTACGGATCCATTAGCTTCGAATCGTAGGTTCTCCAGCATGGCCCTCCCAAATCGGGGTTTCTCAACTTTGGGCCAACGTGCCCACCCCTAGGTGCTAGCATCCCCTCACATGACCGTTTCTCCTCTCTTCGCTGACGCGGCCGACCATGATGCCCTGGTCTGGTAATATTGAGGAGAGGGGGGGGGACGGGAGGTGGCGAGGGGAGACGGTTGCAGGGAAGGGAGCCTCGTTGTTCCCCTGCGCCATATCTGTTTGCACTTTGCGTGGCCTTCGTCGAAATGTGCATGCGGATTGGCCTCTATCGTTTTCATGACTGCGAGAGACAAAAACGAGCAATCGCAACCCACAGGAAAGTTGGTCACGGCATGGGACGTGAAAACATCTTCAATTGCCTTTTTTAATGAGATTCCACTTTGAAGACACTTTCGGAGTTGATTCTTTGCTTTCAGTATCGCCCCCCCCGCTTCATTCCTTTTGTTTTCAGAATCCTACTAGCCATTTTGGAGCTGGTCGGCACTATAACGATATTCCGGTGGCGGGGAGGGTAGGGATTGTGAAGTGAGAGTCGCTCTCAGCAGTTCATAGGTTACTGATACTGGAAGTGTGAAGTTGGCCGCACGGGAACGATCCCGTGACCGTGCGGCCGGTCACCAGCCCAGCAGTAAGCCGCGCACTTGACTTCCACGCAAAATCGTGCAAACTTTGTAAATGTGCATTATTTTGCGAACTTGCCGTTGATAAAGCCAGTGCATTTTGCCAGACACTCACTTCTGCGGTTTCCTTGAGTGTTTTGTCGGAAATCAATCTTACGGGCCAAAAGCGACGCAACTTCTTCGGTCACTGCGCTGTCTCCGCTATATCTGGACATTTCCCTAGTAAGTAGAAGGGATGTTCATTCATCGTTCTGATGAAGGTGCAGAAGGCAGTTTGAAGGACAAATAGGGGAAGAAAGTGCGGACGAGTTTGGATCAACATGATAAAAGTCCACCTCAAAGAACAACTAGATAAACATCAATATTATTCAGACGCATTATGACAGACGCGATGACTCATGTAACGTTTGTGATTCTGCCCTGATTCACTTTATTTTATCGACTTGTTTTTCCATTGATTTTTCATAGGTTCTTAACCAGAAAGTCATAAGGCACGATAATTTGGTTCTTGCTCAAAAGTAGTAGCAGAGATGTTACATAATGAGATAATGACGAAATAGCGAAATTAAACGGCTTAAACGCGCGGGAATAGCGAATAGCCTTTCTGCCACACGGCTAAGATAGCAATTTTGGACGAGTTTCCCGTTGGCATTGTGCCAACTACCACTACGGTAGACACGAGTGCATGTATCTACTCATATATCCATGACGCTTCATATCATTCCCTTTGCTTCATATTGTACACTCTAGTTCGCTGCGGACGGTTGGGCGTGTCAGGCAGTATGAGTGTGTCACCCCGTCAAAGCCGTTCTCTGCCTTCTTGTTGAAGCGCGCATGCGACAAAAAGTGGTAGAAAACGAGTAATACGAACGATATGATACAGTCATATCATTTGCTCGCTTTAACAACTGGTGGAGAACGGGTTTGGCACCGCGCCAAACTCATCCCGCCTGACACGCCCAACCGTCCGCAGCGAACTACACTATATTTCGCGAGTATAACTATACGCGTATCAGCTCGGACATTTGTGGGCGGACAGGCGCGCCGGGCGTCCTGGTCGGTATGTTGCAGCCTGAAAGGGCGCTATGAGGGTACTTTCATCCCAGGCACCATGCAGTCCCTACTCAGGAATGGCGAATTCCGTTCTTCTAGGCATATTAATCTACACGTCTTGGGAACTTATCGTGCCAGTTGCCACATAAGCATTAATTTGCCCTTTGAAACTAGGCTTGCGACTATCCTCAAGGTGCAGCACTTGCATCGATAGCAAAATCCCTCAGCGAACGCACAGGCTGAGGTAGAGAACAAACAACGTTACAGGGCGCAGACGTGTAGTTTGTTTGACTCTGGTCAGATGTGTGATCGGCCGTACTCTAGCGGGGGTGGAGTTCAGAAACGGCACTCTGGTGTCACTACCCTCCAACCCCTATTTTGAGCGGAGAAAATTGCCCGTACTGCAGCCGCAGACCCATCCAGCTCGTTCATGCCAAGGATCAGGATGCTCGGAGACGAGCTTACAGTTTGTCTTCACAAGTTGGTTAGAGTTCACCAGTCGCTGCGGGTATCAATCCATTTGTGGCGAGTGTTTCATTGCATATTAACGACTCGATGCTAATTTTGGGCTAGTTTTTGTGATTATCTTCAACGAGTAAAACATTCTAATTTATGCAAAATTCGGGTTTCAGCGTGATGGCTACTACTACTTTTTGTGCCAAACTTTAATCTAGCCAAGCTCTGATTTCTGTGTCAATAGTCAAGTGTGCCTTTCAAATTATTTTCATGTGACGCTTAAATTTGCTCGTTAGTTGGCTGTGCTTTTTGAGGCGTGCAGGATTAGGCACTACACGTGGGTGGCATGAATCATCTTTTCCAAAACAAAGGCTGATTTTCAAAACAGTGTGATGGCTGAAAGCCCGCATTGCCTGCTTGGAGCACCTTCTGAAGTATCCAGGTGCAATTTGGAGAAGGTGTTCGAGAAATTAAAAGTGATGCCTTAGTTTCTGTCTTGTTAGCATTTGCTGTCTCTAACGCCAAGCACAAACCCTATGATGCAGCATCTCTGGCAGAATCCCGGTCTCACTCGGTCGCTGAGGGAGAGAAGGGGTTTGGATTTGGTCAGTGGCAGTTGTACGTAGATTCGAAAGAAAGCCTCCAAGCTATAAGCAGTCCTCGCATTTGTCGACTTTTCCGCGATATTTTCCCAGTTTTATCGGCTAGTCATGTACTGCCTAACGGGTAGTTTATTGTAGTCCACAATGGCAGCCAACCCAGTTCCAGTGTTCGTTCGCGAGAATTCTCGAAGGATGAAAAAATCTTGGGAAAATTCGTGCTGTTAGAGGCTCGGAGAACTGGAGATAGCAGTGTCAGATGGGAAAGGGAGGGGGGAGGGCATGTTGGAAGAGGAAATTTGGTGGGTAGCACTGACACCAACATTTCACCCATACCGAAGCTGTAACTTAGCCCCTCAGCTGATCAGAACGTAAGGTGCTATAAGAACGCAACGAGGCCACAAAGGTTTGGGCGCAGTTTGGCTTGGAGGGGTGTTTTTGCTGCTTCCTACTATTGACCACTAACGATGCCTGCTGTGGATACCTTTAGATGCCTGCAAAACTATGTATTGGCAAGAGCTTGGTTTGGCTTCTGACAAGGGTCTACAGGTCTCATGCATGGGTAGACGTGTATATAACAGAACCTAGCATGAGGAACTTATGCGAGAAGTGCCAAAGCTCCCTCCCAAAGCCGAACAAGCGGCCAGGCGTTTAAAGGACTTCATCTCGTTCTCTTGGTCAAGGAATAATGTCCAGCGCTTTGTTGACATTTTTATTACACGGTGATTGTTGCTCATTCGGTATTTTCCTATTGATTTCGCGATCATGCCCGATCAATTGGCGGTGCAGCGCTATCAGCTGGTAAAAGGCGAACCCTTCTACCGCATTTGACGCTCAATGAGTTAGTCCTTTTAGGTTCATTTCCGTGGTTCTTGATCACTTTGTAAGCTCAGTTCATTGCTAGTTCTCTAACGTGACTTCAGTTTTTTTTGTGTTCCTCGAACTATTCTCTGATTTATATCTAGTTGTTCGCGAAAGGAATGCGCGTTGGAGAGCCTTTGCTTCTATTTATTTCTCTTCTACTATAGGAGATTTTTCAAAAACAGTTTTGTCCATTAGAGAGAGGTTTTATTGCGCATCTTTTGATATATTTTTTCTATGTCTACCTTGTTTTTTTAGAGAAAAAAAGTTTAGAAAATGCTCGACCAAAAATTTCGAATGCGAGCTTGTATGTGGTAAGACTTCAAGCAAGTCCTAACGACGCACTTGGGTGGACCTAATGACCCACTCGGCTCACAGGGGCAGCGGCGACTAGCGACACACACTCGGCGAGAAAACTGGGCCAAAAAGAGCCTCTTTGTTTTACCCTCTACGCGAGAACCTAACGACACACCGAGGGGAAAAGTGAAAGAGGCTCTTTTGGCGAAGTTTTTGCGTACAGTTGGCAACAAGTCATTGCTAGTAATGGAGATTATCTTTTAGATTGACCTTGTTTAATTTCGTTTTTATAATAAAAAATTTTTTACACTCAAACGCGCATTCCTTTCCCGAGATAAACGTATGACAATTCGTAGTACCTGCCAATTCGAGCGTTCAAGTAAATTCCGTTTATCAGCCTCAGTTAAGAAATTCTCGCTGTTAACATTTCATAATGAAATATCTGCTTCATAAACGAAAGGTTGACACCTAAGTCAATCCTTTATTCCAGAGGAGGCAGAGCACTTCCTAATGTCGTCGGTATCTTCCGACATTTCTGGTCTTGCTGATATTTCGTTTCGTAAGGAGAGTATTTGTGAAGAACCGTCACCAGTCGACCTAGAGGTCAATGAAGCGATTGCACTTCATCGCTCTCAGGTGCCCAGATGTACAAGGTGATGCTTGGGGATGATTTCCACCTGTTATTATGCAAGTAATGACTTTATATAGTCGTGTCATGCTTTGCGCCCAGTTTCGTTTGAGCGTACATCGGCGCTTTTTGAGCGTTTTTCTGCTGGCGGATTTTACTGAAGCTTAACACATTGACGACAGTCGGTGATAACACGATTAATGCGCGCGTTGGGCACGGTGCGACGCCGAATCATATTTGAATCACGATGAACCAAGTCCACTTGTGAATCCTTTCCCTAGTATCAGCTTTTTGTCTAGTCTCCTATTCATTTCGCGATAGGCCAGTTTCTTAGTATACTTCGAAAATCGCCGTCGTCCATGGAATAATGTTAGAACACGCCAAGTTTAGACAAAAGATTTTCCTGTGCCATCCACGTACAAACTTTGAATTGCTTTCTCCTCAGCTTTGGATGGTATTGCTCTGTTTAAACTCTTTACAAGCAATGATAATTATGAACAAATATAAGTGAGCGTATTCTGAATCACATAGAAAGCACGATTTTGACGTTTTTATATTGCAAAAATATTGTGTTAGCGAGACAAATTCCTGCCGCTTGGGCGAAGGCGAGTTTGCGCTGCAACATTTTTTTCCATGGTAAAATTATAGTTGACCTTACCCTCTACAACTTGATCTCTTAAACGCAGCGGCTTCCACGAAATCTCCAAAAAAAGCGCTTTGTGGGACGGTCTGAACTGTATGAGTACCGCGCTTGTGGCGTTCAAGAAAGCGCGCGTGTCCCACGCGGCCAAAAAGTAAAAACGCGCGTTGTGTAACGTCAAGACAGACACCTGCCTGCGTATAAAAATGCGTCGCGACTAGTTGCTTCCATTATGAAACAGTAGCTTGATAGTAATTTTCCGCAGAGAAGAAAAACAAGAAGAGGAGTCCTCAGGAACGACAGCATAAAACAAATCGCTCCCTGACCAGTGCACACTCTGCTGCGGTTCTGCTGCAACCCCCTAACCCATAAAATCCCTTTATCACCACTCGCCAGTGTGAATATCATCCAATCGCAAAAGCAAAGTATAACGGAACAACAACCAAAACACGGAAGAAGAAACTCGTGAGAAAGTCGAAATAGAACTTTAAAACACTCGGCGTCCGATTTTTGCTTAGCGGTAGCCGTGACGATCTCTAGTGCAGTGTAGTTCCTCGGGGTTCTTGCACCAACGAAAGTGATCGCTTGTGATTTTTACGCATTTTACTTTGCGAGATGGGTTGGGTTGACTAGCAAAAAGGGCATGCGATTCCGATTAATGCCTGCCGCCCCAACAAAGAACAAGTGAGCGGCCCTCCGTCTGAGGGCATCTAGCAAGTGGGCGGTTCAACTGAGCGGGCGTTACAACTAGAACTTTCAGCAACTGTAGCTCGCTCCCTCACGTCGCGCTGGTGTGAGTTACCCACGAGAGTGCGCAGTCTCCACGCTTGAAAGCTGTACTGCTTGCACAGGGAAGGACGACCTCGTACTACTTGAGCGCGGGGACTTCAAGGTCTTTAAGGTTGCCTGCGAAAACTATCAATACTTTCGTAGCCGCTCAAAACGCAGGTCTACTTTGGCCATGACGCCGGCTGGATCGATATCTTATCTTCTCCTAGTTGCTAGCCCTGGCATACGCTGACGCGAAGTGTGAATGTAGCTTTATCGTTCATTTTGAAGTGATATTATAGGAAAAATAATGATAAAATCGTTTCTAGAGTGGAAGAGATCGTGGCTGGTATTACACATTGCAAAAATCGTCTAAAGGAATGCATGAACGAAAAGAACTCACCTGTGAAACAAATGTATCTTGACAAGATTGTTCAGCTGAGTCTGGAAAAACAAACCTTGGAGGTAGGTGTTATAGCTTTTTATCTTCGACTCGAATTTTTAGTGTGCGTTTATGCTTTGCGAGTTGGCGTTAGCGTTTAAGGAGAATCAGCTTTATGAGCGAATCGGCGATTTGAGCGGAAAGGAAAGCACAGGTATCGTTCGGCGCCCAATTCGCTGTCGCCTCAAAACACTTATTCTACCAAAATGATTTAAAAAGCTGACTCGCTTAGAAACTATTCCTGATCCTCTTAAAACGCCGGGTCACAAAGTATGAACAGAGCCTCGCAGATAGAAAGCCACTCGCGAGAAATTGTGAATATCTTTCAGACCAGATAGTTTTTTTCTGAGAAAATTGGCCGGTATTGATGTGTTTATTAGCGTTTGCACCTCCAGCCTGAAGAGCTGAGAAATCAATCAAAGTTTTCTGTTTTTCCACCTCCATATGGAATATTTATTTGTGGCTTCCTTAGATCAAAGATGCATTCAGCGATAATTGGATAGGCGGATAATCATACTTATGGTGTCTTCCTCATTGGCGCGTTTCACTTTCCGGTTAATGGGAGGGAGGGGGAGGGGGCGGCAGTGAGAAAGGCACAATGTTTATGAGTCTCCAGCTGTCCGATAGTGGTGGAAGCAGGGCATATCATCGTTGGGGTTTTCCTAACAGGGCGGTCGCATTTGGTCGCTGGGAAGAGACAGGGGCCTATTTGCTCTGATATACGCCCCCTCTCGACAGCTCTGATCGTATCAGAGAAGGGAACGGAGGTGATCGTATCAAGCCCCCCTGGGGGGGGTCGTACGGTGGACTCGACCAAAGCCCCTTACTAATGATGTGCCCTGGGTGAAAGGTGTCAGGAAGTGGATTTGGCCCGGCTCCAGCCCATTTTTCACCGATTACGGAAGCTGGCAAGCGATCACAATTGGTGGCAAACGGGCTGGCATCGCGCCAAAACAGCCCTCTTACACATCCCAGCATCCGCAGCTAACAAGTATGTATTTAATTCTGTACATTCAAGAAAATATGTTTCATACAGAGCCAGTCGCATTCGATCGCGCTGAACCCGTTTTAGGAAAATGGTGCGAATGGTGAAGATACGGTAATCAAAATGCTTGGCCATGAGTTTGCTCTCCAACGTAGCTCTGGCCGTCGTAACCCTTATTGCGAAGTATGTATGAGTACAATCTGGCGAATGGTCCAGTCATGGCGACGATGTAAAGGTGAAGTTTTGAAGTTATTCACTCCACATTTCAGGCTAAAAGGCACAACATTTTACGGTATCCATATGAGCGCTTACTAGGTAAGGTCGTCAGTCGAAGTGGCCATTTGTGATGAGATGTAGATCACTAGACGTGGTTTTGGACGCTGATCTTGAATCTGCCTTCAAAATTTGCAAAGCGATTCTCTGAACGCCCCCGAGTTATGGGCGCGTTTACACCCACGCAACAGGTCATGGGATCGGATCCCTGCTGAGCTTAACTTTTTTGCTTGTTGCGCAAACGTGGCAAAAAGTGATTTTGCCGTCACTACTACTTCAGCTCTCACCTGAGCTTGTCTGAAGAAAAGTTTGCCTCCATTTATTACTGCGCTTGGACTCCTTGTAGACTACAGTGCACTACAGTGCTTCTACAAGGAGTCCAAGCGCACTAATAAACGGAGGCAAACTTTTCTTCAGACAAGCTCAGGTGAGAACTGAAGTAGTAGTGACGGCAAAATCACTTTTTGCCACGTTTGCGCAACAAGCAAAAAAGTTAAGCTCAGCAGGGATCCGATCCCATGACCTGTTGCGTGGTAAACGCGGCTCCATAACTCCGTTCAGAGAATCGCTTTGCAAATTTTGAAGGCAGATTCAAGATCAGCGTCCAAAACCACGTCTAGTGATCTACATCTCATCACAAATGGCCACTTCGACCTGACGACCTTCCCTAGTTAGATTGGCGGAGACTCAATGATCATGCCTTTCTCCCTGGTCTTCCCTCCCTTACTGTCTAGGAGGAATCTATGAGGGCCAGTGCACTAGTGAGGATGGCATAATGGTTGCGAGTCTGCCCCCATTTCTCCATCCATTCAAATCTTACAGAGTGCGTCTTCAAAATCGCTTAGAATCGGGTACATATAGCTAAATTATTGCAGCATGCGGTATGCGAGCCCACGACAAGTGTGCAACTGAGGTGCATCGAGTATGTGCGGGTGTTGTCGCCTCTCGTCGAGATTTCCGGCTGGCGTTGGCCATCTGCGAGGAAAGGGGCCTATGTGCGCAGGACTACGCTTGTGCCGAATGTGAGACTCCGCTAGCTTACGGTAAGTTCTGAAATCTAATTTCCTATTCTTTAGGGTGCGTTCATATTTTGCGTTGGGGTTTTGAACGATTAGGAAAGTATGGGTTTTGACCTGGCCGCCATACGCCCAAAACGCAGACGCAAACTATAAACGCACTCTTGTAGACGTTGAGTTTTATGGCTATTAAGGTAAGATGTATAGGGGTGTTCGATTGTGCATCTTGTGATGCGTGCGGTTGTGAAGCGGAAGGCTGAATCGAATTTCTTTCAGAAGGGCTGTGCCAATATGCAGCCTCGTCTCTGTGAATATACCGGAATGTTGTTTTGTTCGAATTGTCACTGGGGTGATACCTGGTCAATCCCAGCAAGGTTGGTTGAATGCGAACTTTGCATAAATTTTTTTTCAAATTATTCCTAGCATTTTTGTTATAATTTGTTCTAAGAATTATTCACAATATGGACGCAAGACCACGGCCGGTTTGTCGTGCCGCAAAGCAGTTATTGGCTATTGTGGATAATAGACCATTAATTGACTTGTCTGAGGCACATTCATCCCTTACTAAATACCACAAGGTACCTCTCTGACCTACTATGAGTTCTTTGGTTTATGTCAAGTACTTTCCAGGAACTGCGAAGGGTGCAGCAACTGCGACGGAACTTTTTATTGATGAAATGTTATTTTGTCAGCTGTCGGGTGAGTCACCGCT